GACACGATGGCTATATTGTCGCACAGTGGGTTACAGACTGATAATTGGTGGGAAAGACGGCAATGTTGTCGCACAGTGGGTTGTGGAAATTCATCCATCGTCATTCAAGCTTGCCACAGCGTTTGTTGACACTTATTTTTCATATCAGACATTACATGAGGATTGTTGTTGCAATCTGGCGACATGAAGTCCTTATTCGAATAATCAATGCCTCCAACAGTGTAAACGTAAATCCAACCTCCAAAGATTGATAACTCCCCGCCTCCGCCCCTCCCTTCGGAAAATACACTCTTTCCGCGGTGGACGCGCGGGTCACTTAAAAGACAGAACAACTGAGGCCGGACACTCAAACCAAAGAACGCGCGCTTTGCGCGCGTCCTGCGGGGGTTTGGGGAGGCAAAGCCCTCCCAAAATCCGGCGCGAAGCGGAGCGCCGGTTTTTTTTAAAAAAACATTTGGTCTACTTTTGTCTGAATAAAGTGTATCTATTCAGAGTATCCAAATTTTTTCTGCTGGTTACCTCTGCATAACCTCTGCCTAATACCGCACAGAATAATTCTGGTGAATATAATTATCTTTAAAGGAGTGCCTATACAGGGTGATCCATAAGTCCCTTCCACCCCCTTAAACTTTTTACCTAATTGAGGTACAGATTTGAAACTTGGGGGATCTTTCTAGGTCAAAGGAAGCTACTTTTAAGCCTTCATGAAATTTGCAGGGGTCCCCTTGGGGGGAGGGGGCAACGGACCCCAACTTTTTTTCAAATTGGAAGACCCCCTTTGTTATAACTCGTTCGTAAGAACATAAAGAAAGGCAATTTTTCGCGCAATCCCGAAGAGATTATCTTAAACCGTTTTAAAATGGCAGCCGGTTAAAGTTTAAGATGGCCAAAAATTGACTTGCGGCTTCGGCTATTTGCATTTGAATTTGCCTGAAACTCGGCATTTGGAGGAAATTCCGCGCGAGAAAAGCGAATCAGACGCTAAAGTTTTTTCTACAAAAAAACCGAAACTTCCAAAATGGCCGCCGGGCCGATTTCAAAATGGTCGAAAATGGTTTTTTCTGAAATCTTACTTCAAATTAATAAATATCATGGCGAAGTACCTTTAAGTCCCAAGTCATCAGCATAAAATCGAGGTGGCTTTTTTCGGCTATTTGAAACTTTAATCGGCGCTCGTCTGGTTTTTGGAGACATTTTGTGCAGTAAACAACCATTAATTTTGCTCAAGCAAAAGTTTCCAACAGGCCCATTAGACTCGACGCTCGGCGTCCTGTGCGCGATGCGGTTCAGGTGACTGTTGATCGGTCTCGTCAGCGCTGAAGCCGTGCCGGGAAAAGAACCGCGCAACTTCTTTGGCGAAACTCGGAGTGGATACGTGATTTTTACGTTGCGCCAGCACGGGGGGCTCTTGTCGGCCTCGAGGACGCCTCGAGAGACGCCTCGGCTCCATTTTCAGCGCTCGCGGCGCTGAAACGGGTCAGAGCGTGTCAAAAGCGCGCATGTCTGTTCTACGGCCAGCGCTAAATTCCGTAGGAATGCTCACATTCCTATGCCCATCTGAAAGTGGACTTGAGAGGTTTTATCCGAACGAGCAACAGGGCTAACCGTTTGGCG